TTTTCCAACAAGACACAGTCAGTCATGCTGTTTATGAATCACACCGCCTTTCCACACCTGTAAACTGTGTAAAGTAGACCCCATACCAGAGGTTTGGAATCCATTTCATTCCATAGGGATTTAGTCTGTTCTCTATTTGTAATGCAGTCTGGTCTGTATATCCATAGGCCTTACAGTATTTCCAATATATCCTTGGACCCAAAAAGTGGGACAAGGGCAACAGCTCTTATAATCTGAGTTATTTAGTGTTATGAAATCCCATCACTTAATTCTTGGAATGAAACTTCCATGAATCAGGGGGTATTGTGTAAGTGATGGGATTTCAATGCACTAAATAAATGCTACTATGCTGCTGGCCATAGTCATATGAAAACAGAGCTTGGCGTAATTTCCAGAAACTTCTCAAGGGCCAATTAATTTCAGCCAGCAACCACACACCCCATGCTTGTAATATGGGGATAACACACCTCGCCTATAGGTTTTGGGGGAGGACAGCTGAGCTAATAATATGTACAGAGCTCATTGTGCCATTTGGAGCAAGGGAGCGAGCACCAGCATCACAACTCATGAGCCTTGTTCTTGTGCAGGCTCTGCCAGCAATTTTATAAAAGCCCCTTTAAAAAACACCACCACCACCATCTGATCCTTGCCTGGCATCACCTGGCACTGCCCAAGGATACTGCAAGGGTCCTGCCACTAGGGTGTAAAGTTTTCCCTCTGAAATTTCAAGCAATTATGCTGACTTCAGAACTCTACATGTGGTTTGAGAGATGCTTACCTGGCTGTAAGGCAGATTAGATGAATGTTTTATGAACATCTGATAGAAGTGAATCATATGCTTGCCAATGCACTGACTGTAGAATGGACCTCAGTAAACCATGCCGGGCACAGGGAAATTTTCTTCTGAGCAAATATGATTAAGATTTGCACCAGAAATGACTCAGCTTCCTCCTCCTCTTAGAATCTGGTCTAGTTTACTGCCAAACCTGAAACGGCTAAGACCCATAAAGTGACTGGAAAGCCTGCAGAAGAGGAAGAAAGAATCACTTGATGGAAATAGCAAGTACTATATGGAAGAAGAGGGTATGCAGTAGGAATCTTTCAAAGAAGACACTGACACCGCTTGGAAGAGCTAATTTTGGACTACAGGTCCTCTAATCCCTCAACTGCTGTGGTCTTCGGAGTTCAAAAAGTAACTTTTCCAGGTGCTGCATATCGGTACCCATACAGTTCTAATGAAATTTTGGTTGTTTGTATAATTTGTGACCAGTGATTTAGCTAGTGGCAGTTAAAAATGCATAGGTATTGAGCCCATTCTTCTTGTTTATAAATCATTTTAATTTTAATTATTTTATTAGATTTATACCCTGCCCATCTTGAGCCCATTCTTCTTGTTTTTAAATCATTTTAGTTTTAATTATTTATTTTATTAGATTTATACCCTGCCCATCTAGACCAAAGGTTCAAAACACTAACCAAATCATAGGAAGAGTCATACTCAATCAAACCAAAGACCTGTCTAGACCAGTACTGTATCCTGTTTCTTAAGACAGCCACTGAGAGGCCTCTAGGAAATCTACATGCAGGACACACATGACTCTTTCCCTTCTTTGCTGTCTAGCAGTCGGACGCTTTCTGCTATGCTAAGTGGTAGGAAAGTCTGTCATCTATTTAAGGGCTATAGTCAGTGAGTTAGGAGTTACAAATTTGTGCTAGGAGCCACAAACTGCAGTGCTGCTGTCAAGACTCTGCTTTTGACCTGGGTTTGAACCTGAGTTCAAGTACTTGACTTAGCCTTCATCATTCCAAGGTCAATAAAATGAGTACCCAGCTTGCTGAGGGGTGGGGTGGGCGGGACAATGTATACTTTCCATAATTAAATTGTAAATGGTATATAAGCAGAACACTTTGCTTTACTTTGCTGTGTTTTTGTTTTATGGACCTGTTGAGAGATAACATGTTTATTATTGACAGCTCTTTTTAATAGGGGACAATAGATACTCTTTCATCCAGTTTGTCCCAGGAGCGTATGGCTAACTAGGAGCTCAAGTTAAACTGCAGCTTTAACTGCCTTTTAAAATATCATCTACAGTATTCTGTAAATCTTAGAAATCCTTGTATAATAATGTCAGCATTTCCTGTATATAGCTGCAGATCGAAAGCTTTTTGTTTGTTTCTTTACTACAGTGGACCCTTGACTTACAGACGGCTTGACTTACAGACTTTTTGACTTCAGAACCGCCTTCCAATATGGATTAAGTTCTCAAGTCAAGACCCCACTGTAATTGGATTCTAGTTGAAAGTTGCAGGCCAGGAAGCTCAGCTTGCTAATGTTGTCACATTATCTGTGTTTTTGGATGAACTGTATTAAATAAATTAATTGTTTTTGTTGTTCTGTTGCTGCCGAATTTATTTAGCAGTTTATGGGTTTACCCTACCCATATTTGCTGCATTTATTTTTTTAGTGCAAATTGTTTGATATATTTTAAATGAAAAAGGGGACAAAACATTCTTAGCTAAACTAAATTAATTCTTTATGAGCAGGAGCAAAAGACAATTGATCTACAATATGGTGACTCAAACTGATGCAGAGTTTATTATATTTATATTCTACCCAAGAAGCTTAGAGTGTGACACGTACGTTTGCTCCCTCCATTTTATCTTCACAACAGCCCTGAGAGGTAGGTCATTCCTGACAGACTGGCAACTCAGTGGGACCTAGTGGGGATTTCTGACTCTTCCCAGCTGTAGTCTAGCACTGTTCGTGTCTCACTAGTGGAGTGTGCCTGTTGAATCCCAGAAAGGATATTCTAGATCTGGTGGACATACAAAAAAGGGCAACCAAAATGTTTACAAACCTGGAGCAAGACTTCTGGACAAGGGCTTTCCAGGTCACCAGTCTCTTGATGAACAGACATTAGCATTTCTATTTTCAGAAATAATTACTATTGAGTCAGACAGCTTGTTCCTTTACATTCCATAAAACATATAAACATCTTCCTTGTCCTCTTTTCTTGATTGATACTTCTCGCCAAGCATTTTCTGTACAATGGAGTTTTGTTTATGCAAGAGGAGCGGTCACTTAGTAGCATGCACCCATTGGTCGTTAGGAAAATACATCCCATGACCTTCAGTGGTCACAGTAGCATACACCCATCGGTCGTTAGGAAAATACATCCCATGACCTTAGCCTCGTGGCGCAATGGTTAAACCGCTGTACTGCAGCTAAAACTGTGCTCACGACCTGGGGTTCAAATCCCAGGTAGCCGGCTCAAGGTTGACTCAGCCTTCCATCCTTCTGAGGTCGGTAAAATGAGTATCCAGCTCGCGGGGGGGGGGGCAATGTGTAGCCTGCATCATTAAATTGTAAACCGCCCAGAGAGTGCTTGAAGCGCTATGGGGCGGTATATACGCAGCACACTTTGCTTTAGTTAGCCAGATAACCCAATGATTCTGAGTGTTCTTCTTTGTGAAGCAATGCAATATATATTTTTTAAATTGTCTGATGCCTTCGAAGGATGTTTCTCCCATTCCCGCACTGAAGGATCTTCCTAATACCTGTCCACTTAACTTCTTTATACGTAATACGAGGGGATATCTTCTTGCCCTTTGATTTAGGCAGCACCATGCTGCGGGCCACCCCTGGAAGAGGCCCAAGGCTGAGTGTCCACCGAAGAGGGTCATTCTTGCTTAGTGTCTGTGGCAAGCTTCACGGATGATGGGAAGAGGTTATCTGTTGAGAGGTGAATCGAGTCCCCCCTCAATGCCTCAGCGCAACAGTAGGCCTAGGAAGGCGAGGTTTTAAGGAGGGTGTGGAGTGGAGCTGGCATGAACAACGGACCCTGACATCATCTGCCAAGGGACTGAGCCATGACAGCTGCCCAGAGCTGCCAGATGTTGCACCCAGGAGGACTCTGCCAGAACCATGGAAGGCGATACAAGGTCCAGCCACTCCCTGATAAGGGACTTAACCCTGATGGGCATGAAAGAGACTTATGGTGTCTTTAAAAGATTTACAAAATCGTAATGTTAAGAAGCTTTCTCGGAGGGGACTCCACTTAATCAGGTGCTTCGGTTAACGCTACCTGCCAGTTTCTGTACATATAGAAAAACACAGGGGATGCGGCCCCTCCTGTTTGTTTAAGTGGCTGTTAGAAATCATATTCACCCAATGCATCCCGTATATGGCAATTCGGAGGGATAGAAATCAAAACACACACACACACCCATTCACACGTTTCTATCTTAACACAAATTGCCAGCTCTCCAGGGTGGCACAGGTTTTTTTTTTTGGCCACACCCAAGATGGACGGAGCCAGCCACTCCCTCCCGAGAGGAAAAGCGGGTGAGGACCGCCGAAGAGAAGGCGCGCGTTCCCGCTCAGAAGATGGCCGCCGCCGGGAGGCCATGATTCTTAGGACAACGGCGACTCCTCCGGCCACACTCAAGATGGACGGGCGGGAAGGGCTTCCCATTCGCAGCCGCTCGGCCGGGCGGAGGGGGCGTGGCGCGGCTGCTTT